AAAGAGCACCCAGTACATGACAGGAACTCTTCTAAGCACTTTACGTTGGATTAACTCTTTAATCCTTACAGTAGCCATATGTCATAACCATCAGCATGAGGCCCATTACAGAATACAGAACTGAAGTGAAGAAAGGTGAGGCACCTGTCCAAGATCACAAAGCATATGGTGGAGCTCTCATCAGAACCCAGGAACGCTGGCCCCATCTGTGTACTCAGTCACCTTACTGCGAGGTCACTCCATGAGGTTTTCACTGTGGTTTTAGTACATTAATAAAGTAATTTTGAACAAAACCTTAGCTGCTTTTTAATAAATTTCTCTCATAATATATAGAAATACGTTTCTAATGAGTACCCCCACCCAGTCCCATACATACTGGCTCTTTTGACGGGGTATATATTTAGGATCAATTCCCTTATAAACATAGGACTTGAGTATATGCATATTTTGTGTATTTTATTCAGTATTCCACAGGTCCAAAATCTTTTCCCCTTCAAGTTTTTAGTTTCTTTACTCTGTAAATTAATGTAAATGTGTTTTGAATAACATTGTGTAGTACTTGGGTTAAAGAATTTGAAGGCAAATAATCAATTACTGACAATTTTGTAGTTTGTATGTTCTATATCTTTTAGTCCTAAAAATACCCTAAACTACATCCAGTAGCCACAGAAATAAATTGAGGGAAGATCACTTTAGACAAACGAACATAATTTGAATTTTAGTATGTTTTTTCAGATCTATATAATCTTGATCATTTCCCCCTCTTTTTCCCTCTTCCTCAAGTACAGACTTATAAGCAGTTTCCTATAACCTAGTCCAACCCATCACCTCTCACCACACCCTGCAGTAGCCATTTAGCTGTCCTCTCCACGCCCAGTCTTTGCTTTCTCCCACTCATTCTCTTCACAGTAGCAATTAGGAGGAAATTGAAAGATATAAAAATGAGAATGTTGTGTGTGTGTGTGTGTGTGTGTGTGTATCAACGTGAAGACACCATGCACCCAAATAAAGCAATATGGAAACCGTCATAGCTGCTAAACATAAGAGATGTTCTGTTTCCCTAAAAATGAAAGAAGCATAAATTTAAATGATGAGATGCTGATTATACCTTTCAAACATTAAAGAAATCTATACAGTATTGGCAAGAGTTTAAGGGAATAATAAGGCTCTTAAACTTTGCTAGATGAAGTTTAAATGGTATGGCTGTGGTGGAGGGCAATTTGATAACATGTAGAAGACAACTTTAAAATGAACTTGGTGATTCCACTTCTATGAATTTGTCTTATGGCAATAATAAGACAGTGCTAAATAATCATGTGTGTATAGCGGAATATTTGTGGAGTCTATTTATAGTGCAGAAAGACAGAGAATAGCGTATTCCAGGGTTTTTGTTAAATAATACAATTTGGCATTTCTAGACAATGGAATTGTATGGGACTATAAGATGTTAATGTAGAGATCTTTTTTTTATTTGTCCTGATACACTTCCACAAAATGTATTTTTAGTAGAAAAAACAAGTTACCAAGTAGTGTTTAAAACATAATCTCTTTTGATAAGGAAGAAGTATATCATGGGGATGTGTGTAGTACAGGAAAAATTGTGTGCCAAAATGTTAATGTGTTTGGATTTTGATTGTGAATATAAAGGTGGTTTAAATGTTTTTTCATGTTTATTGTGCTTTATTTCTTGTGCCAAACAAATATAATATGATAATTCTTCTTTTTTTAAAAAAATATTTTTTAGTTGTTGATGGGCCTTTATTTATTTTTTATTTATTTATACATAGTGCTGAGAATCGAATTCAGTACCTCATCCATGCTAGGCAAGTGCTCCACCACTGAGCCACAACCCCAGCCCTGATAATTCTTCTTAAAGAAGAAACATTATTTTCCCCTCTGGAGGTTGAGAGCTGGAACCATATATGTATTATAGTTTTCTTTCTTTTGGAAAGTGATGGTACTTAAGTAAACTTAAGAGAAGAAAGTAAAAAAATATGTTCAATCTAGGTAGTTAGGTAGATGCCAGTGTGCTTAGCATTTTTGTTGTTTTCTGTTTTTGAAATGTGGTATTATTTACAAAAAAGAATGAGAGAATAAAAATGTGTAATTATAATTTTAAATATATAGCTAATTTAAAACTATATATTCTTTAAA